ATATAGACAAAAGAAACAGAAGCAAAGTTATACTATCCTGCTGACTTTTTGTCACCAGTTCTCCATATCCCCAATATTTACCAGGTCCTATACTGAAAATATGGGTAGAGTCAACTGCAAAATCCACCATATAGGGATATGTGAGCATAGTGGGAGTTTGCAGGGGTGGTGGGGAGGGGTGGTGGTGGTGGTCAGGGCTGGGGAGAGAGAGTAACAGAAAACTTCCTTCTCAAAGTGATATTACAAAGTAAAATTTCAAAACACGTGAAGAAATTAAATGCTAAAAATGATACTAAATAAAATCAACAGTTATAACTTGAATTCACTCCAGATGAAACTTATTTTATAGAACAAAGATTTTAAAATAAGCATATTGAAGATGTTCGAAGAAACAAATGAAAATGTTAAAACAGAATAAGAAATTATGAAACAGAACAGGCAGAAATAAAACAAGAGCAGGTGGATATGAACAAAATTAGAAATCTTGGAAATTAAAAATAATCACTGAGATATTGAAAAAGACAGGAAAATAATCCAGACTAGATATGGTCAAAAAGTGAATTTATGAATTCAAGTTACTTGTGGGGAACTCAGAATCAGTGCAGTAAAATAAAATGCTAAAAATTATGAAAAATTAGTAAAAAATCATGGAGGGCCACTTGAGAGACTCCAACATTCATCTAATAGAAATTATTGAAGAAGAGAATCAAAGGAATGAAGAAAAGGCAATCTTTGAAGGGATAATTTGCCAATAATTTCTCAGAATTAAAGAAAGACACAGGGGCTTGCCTGGTGGCGCAGTGGTTGAGAGTCCGCCTGCTGATACAGGGGACACGGGTTCGTGCCCCGGTCCGGGAAGATCCCACGTGCCGTGGAGCGGCTGGGCCCGTGAGCCATGGCCGCTGAGCCTGCGCGTCCGGAGCCTGTGTTCCGCAACGGGAGAGGCCACAACAGTGAGAGGCCCGTGTACCACACACACACAAAAAAACAAAAAAAATAAAGAAAGACATAGACTCTTAGGTAGAAAGACTACTCAGAGTACCAAGCAGGGTAAACAGAAATAAATTCACATCCAGACACATTAAAGTGAAAAAGCAGAGCATGAAGATCAAAAGGAAAGTCTTTAAACCTACCCAAGAAAAGATAAATTACCATAAACAAATAATGGCAGACTTCTTATTAGCAACTGTGGATGTCAGAAAAAAATGAAAAAAAAAAAGTTCAAAGAATGAAGGGAAGTCCTCCTCAAGCTAAAATTTATACCTTGCCAAACTATCATCCCAAAGATAAGTCAAAATAAGAACATATATAGATTAAGATAGTTTCTCATGGACTCTCACTAAAACAGTTATTAAGGGGTCTACTTTAATAAGGTAACAGGAAAATCTTGAGATGCAATAAACAGGAGAACACAAAAATTTATAAGCTGTGTAGGAAAAGTCAATTGGCTCTTCATCATCATCATCATCATGTGTAGTTGCTAATAAGTGGAAGAAAGAATGAACTAGTTGTTGAATGACACTGAGATAATGGGTTATCCATATGTAAACAACAAATTAAATCCCCAGCTCATATCATACACAATGATCAGTCCTAAATGAGATAACTACCCAAGTGTGGTGTAAAACTTGACAATTTTTAGAATACAGGAGAATATGATATTCAGGTAGGGAAGGATTTCTTAAATAAGTCATAAAAGCAAAGTTCATAAAGCAATATTCATACATTCAACTACATTAAAATAAAAAAAACCCTTCCATAAATCAAAATACATCATAAATCAAAAAACACAAGCCACCATCTGGGGTAAGATATTTGCAATGCATATTAAGTGACAAAGTATCAACATGCAGAATAACAAAGAATTAAAAGTCAATAAAAAGAAACAACCCAAGAGAAAATTGAAAAATGATATGAAAAGTCAGTTCACAGAAGAAAGCAAAGTGGCCAATAAACATACGAAAAGATATTAAACCCCACCAGTAATCAGGGAAACACATATTATAAAAACAATGGGATAACATTTTACATTTATCATGATGACTGGTAAAAATTTATGTCTGATGATTCCAAGTGTGGAGGATTCAGAGAAATGGAAACTATTATACTTTGCTGTTCTTATACTTTGAAGTATAAATTTGTTCAACTACTTTAGAAAACAACTGGCCATTATACAGTAAATTTGAAGATGCATGCAATCAGTAATTCCTCTCCTAGTTATATGTTCTAGATAAATTCTCATACTTATGCACAAAATGCTCCAAGTAGTATTATTTAAAATTGCAAAAAAACTGGAAATAACCTAAATTATGATCAATAAAATGGAAAAAGAAATTGTGGTGTAATCATAATTGCTATGTAATCATAGCAGTTAAAATGATTGAACCAGAGCTACATGTATTCACAGGAATTAATCTCTACAGTATAATAAGTAAGGGAAAAGTTCAGTATGACATTTATAGTGTGACATCACTTATAGGAATTTGTAAAACAATACCAGTTATACCAGTCACATTTTTGGATATATAGATATAGAAAATCATTGAATTTATTACAGTGATTACCTATAGAGTGAAGGGAGAGAGATGCAATCAGCTAGGAGTACAGAAAAGTCTCAACTAGATCTATAATTTTTTTAATAGGGGCCTCTGTAGCACATATGGCACTATGTTGATATGATAAAGCCAAGCTGTTTGGTGGTGAGGGGGGCAATAAATGACTCCTCATTTTATCTCTACTCTTTTCTGTGAATTCAAAATTATTCACGATGAACAAAATAAGAGTTTAAAGAAGATAACACAGGTTTTTAAGGCTTCCAAATTCCCAGCCAGCATTTCTGAAGGCTCCTAGCTGATGAGGAGTGGCAGAATCAGACTGCAGTTCTGTGTTGAGGATGGTCTGGTGACGAGTGCAAACAAGCTGGTACCTCCCACTGGCATCCCCAGAGAGGTAGCATGCCCCTTGCTAGCTGTAGCAGCTTCTGGTGAGGTGGGGAATGGAGATGACTTTGAAAGTGAGAGACAGTTATTGACAGTAGAGGGAAGTGATTCTGACATGGACTAGAGTTGTCCAGGTAATACACAGCCTAATGGTCTTTCCTAACCTTTCCAAGTCATGACACACATGGATAACACTTGGTACACTGGAGTAGAGGCTACCACCTTGGCAGCTCAGTTATCCTGGGACCTACCTGTACCCCTGAGAGATGAGTGGATCAATATATCACGAGTGTATATCTTACAATATCACACAAATGTAGCCTACTTGCAGTACTGTATACTCGTGTGACGCAACATGACTTTTGAGAAGCTTTGACCCAGAAAATAGTCTTTTCTCATCTAAGAGTAGGGAAAATTATAAACCATTCCAAACTCTGGCAGTGCTTAACAGTTTGCCCAAAAAGAGTGCACTGAGAGTCACAACTATTCTGCTTGAATTCGTGCAGTAGCAATTAGGAACGGAAAGAGCTGGTGCAAAAGAAATGCAGTTAACAGAGTCTAAAAGTCTCCTTCTGAAGCAACTGAAGACGGATCAAGAAACCTCTCCAATTCACATGTCGGCATCATATCAGGGTGTGACCAGATGAGACTGGGATGTGAAAGCAGGCAATCTGGGTCAGCATTTGTGGAGCAGAACGGAAAACAATCATGAAGGAAAGCAATTAACCGGACGGACGGGCCAAAGATAATCACTTACCAACACCTTAGTGGGAAGGGATTGGTAGGTCACACAACTGAGCCATTCTAATATTATTAGCCCATGATTTGGAATTTCTATATATGTTAATTAGATACTTGTTAAACACAGTTCATTCTATGGGTTAGACTGAACGTTTTCAAACCAGTTCATCTTTGTTCTTCTGAAGTCCCAAGTTCAAAGAGATCTATCAGGTGGAAATGTAGTAAGGCCACCTGAACTGGGTGGATGCAAATTCCATTTGCAGTCATTGTCTTATATCCCAGTTACATAGACAGATAACCAGCCTTTGGGCTAAGATAGTGCCTGCAGAGGACAATTTCTCAATCTCCTTGTGAGCCAATTGGCCCTGGACACAGCAACAGGCTGGGTGGTAGGCAGGATGACGTGGTACAGCTATATTGGTTACTAAAATACTGAAATACCTCCATATTTATTGGTAATTAGCCACTCCTAGAGCTCCCCAACCCTGCCATGTGACCACCCCCCCACACCAGTCCCTTCCTCAGGATGCCATCTCCCCACAGTCCGGTAAACAAAGTGTTAATGCCCAGCACAGTAGAGGGCCACCGGGGCCATTAAATATTTAGAACATCACCAATGAATGAAGATGGACCACCACACCCACTCTTGAATGCTCACTGCTGGCACTATCATCTCCTTGGATTCCAAGAGAGAACAGCATCTCTTGTTGGCCAGTTTTGCCTCAAGTTCCCAAACTGAAATAAAATACCTTCTGGTAAAACTAAACTGCTCAACTTTTCTCTGGGCTATATGCCAGACCGAGGGGAAGGAAAGGAGCTTTAAATCCCAGGGCCATAGCTTTGTTGTGGGACTTGTCCTTCCTAAAGGTGAGTGACAAGAGTCACAGGAGACCAAACCTGGTCACTTCCCCAGACGGGCCTTTCCTCATTAACTGTCCTCCCTTCATTCCATGCCATCTACCAAGCAGTTTCCCCATTCCCCATGATCTTCAAGCTTATTTCTCAGGAGACCAGGGCACTTCCTTGACACCTGGACCCACTGAGTGATCTGGGGAGAACCTGGCCCTGGAATATGCAGCAACATCATAGTACCAACCCTGCCATCTGCAGAGTCAAGACAAGGCGGCACAGAGCTGGGGAAGAGAAAAGAAACCGCCTGTGGGGTAGAGGATGGGGGAGAAGGATCATTCATGACACAAGAACTCTGCTGTTCATTCAGGAAGCCAAAGGAGGAGGGCAGGAATTACATTTGGATAGACAACCAGGCATCACTCTGGGAAACAAGGGAAAAGCCCAAGCAGAATGGCCACACCTACTCACCAGGGCTGGTTATCGTCAGGAGGTCTAGGTGCCGCTGTTGCTGCAAAAGAAAACACATTGTGAGAGCGCTGATTCAAGCCAGAGCCAAACTCGTTGCTTAGCAGGTCAGGGTGAATGTGCAAAGGGGATGTTCAGACACGCACAGCAAGCTGTATTGCGGAGGACGTGGTCTCACAGTCCTGCAGGGAGGCCTTGTACCCTAGAGACAAGGGGGAATGCATAGCCTTTCTGGCCAGAGCCGAAAGGGCCTTAGAGACCTTCCAGTCAGACCTATCTTATACTTCGGGAAAATGAAGTCCTGAGAGGAATGTGGCTTACCTATAGCCACAAAGAAAGTCCCTTTCCAGACTCCCAGCCATGGCTCACTCCTCCGTACCAGGCAGCCTCAGATTTCTCTTTGGTCACACTGGCTGTACTGGTTAAGTGTCTGATATCCTGGCAACCCTCTTTGCCTTGGGTCCTTAAGTCACTGTCACCCTCCTGATACTCCTTTCTAACCAAGATGCTCCTGGGGGCTGGTTTATTTATTAAATCTGCTCAACAATGCTATGACAATTTCAATTACTGATGAACAAACCATTACTTTTCTAACTGAATCCTCATCTCTCTGTACCATACAACAAAGAAAATAATATTTGTCAGGTACACTAGCCCAGATAGATGAAGTTTGGAGGCAACTAGCCTTGGCCCCAAGGGCTGAGGTGGTCAGTATCTCAGTTGGCTCGCCCCCTATCACACCATACTTATGGAGAAGCCTAGTCCTGAAATGGATGTCATGGGAACCTGAGGGTGGAGGAGAGGGTATTGTAGGCTGAGGATGGGGCAGTGGTAAGCAACTCTCTTAAAGACAAGGCAGGATTCCTTAAGCCTCAGTCAACCTCTCTCTCTTTCCTACACTTGATTTTCTATTAATAGCCATTTTCTATTAATAGCAATTTCCATTAATATGTAGTTTCTTTTTTCTTAAAAAGGGGTCCTAACAAACTTCACTTTGAGAACCACTGCTTCAAGGATACACATTGCAGGAGCTTCTGATTATCTGGTACTTCATCCAGCGGGTCCTTTGCCATATTTCATCTCACCTACATTTCCCTCTTTATCTTGCCTCTCCCCTAGAATGGCTTCCTGAAATTCTGCTTAAGCAGAAAGGAGAAGGCAGCAACATTTTCTGAGTACTGAATATATGCCAGGCACAGTACCAGGCACTTTGATGTGTCATTTCTTCTTACACTCTTGGCAATCCTACAGGGTTGGTAATGTACAACAGAGGGACATGGGGTTCAGACAGGAGAAATTATCTGCCTAAGACCACATCTTCATTGAATGAGAGAGCCAGGATTAGAATTCAGTCAGTTCTAATCTTGGCTTGAAAGTCCAATATATGATCATGCACAATAAATCACTTAGCATGATGCCTAGTACTTAATAGGTGCTTAATAAAAAGAGCTATTTTTGTATTGATGTTTTGTTGTTATTATAGACCATGTGACCCTTGCTTTATAAAACCTGCCTTGCCCCTTTTCATAGAATTATTGGTACCAGAGCTCAAAGGTCATTGAGTCTGACCTGCCACCAGTATAGGAATCCCCTCAGCAATGTCCCCACCAGTTGTATGAACTGATTCTGTTTTATCCTTTTGCCTGACAGGGAACTCACGTTTTGTCAGTTAAAAATTTTTTTTCTGTTTTTTTTGGCCATGCCACACGGCATGTGGGATTTTAGTTCCCTGACAAGCCATCGAACCCGTGTCCCTAAATAGCTCTACTTTGAGCAGGGTTAAAAGCTGCTTCCTTATGAAATCATCCCTGTTTCTAGCTGCTTCAGCCCATGACAAGCTTGGAGGTCTGAAGAAGATCTGTGTCATCTTCCCTCCTGGTTAAATATTCCCAGTTCCTTCACCTTTTCCTTATAAGACCTGGTCTCAAATCTCCTGGCCCTTGTGGTCCCCTCCTCTTCCATTTAAATTTGATCTGTCCCAGTCAAAACCTCTTTAAGATCTCTCTATCTCTATCTATCTCTATCTCTCTCTCTATCCCCCTCTCTAATGATTTTTCAGGGCCCTAAAAGCAGGTCTGTAGCCTTTCATAGCCGTCTTAATCACGCATCCCTGTTTTACTGCCAGCTCATAATTCATTCCAGTTGACATTTTCAAGCAACAGTGCAACTCCAAGATGTCACTGACCTCCACTGTGAGCACACATTGTCGTGCTGAAATGAAACACACACCCACATATGCAAGCTAGAAGGACTGCTGGAGCCAGATTGCCTGCTCTCCCAATCACAGAACCAGGCTAGTGGGACAACTGGCTCACACTGCCTTTGCCAAGGCCAGCCTGTGAGGCTAGGCCCTTCCCTCATACATGAGGAAGGAAGACAATCTGTCCTTCTATTTTTCCATAAGCTTGGTTTTGTGGCAATCGCCGTTGGTGAAAGAGGTCCATTTATCTGAAAAGTGTCTATTTCCTCATTAAGATCTATCTCTAAATGGTGATTCTGTGTCCAGGGTCCAGTAGAGAAAAAAGGGAAGAAAACCTGACAGGAGCACGGACAGACCTGGCCTTGTGTCCTAGCTCCTCTCTGTGGTTTTGGATAACTTACTGTTATGTCTCCGGCCTTGAACTTCATACCTCTAAAATGAGTGAGTGAGACTGAAATACTGTCAGTGACTCTGAGTCAAATACAGCCAGACACTGTGCTTGTGGGCTCCCCTTCCGGTGTAGAGTTCTCTGAGCACGCCTGTAGCCAGGACCCTGGGGGCTAAATGACAGAGCTGAGAATTTAAGAGAAGAAATTTTAAGCTAACCTCTCACACAGCAATTTTCAGTGCTTGTGTGTCTTCCTCACTAGCTGAGGGGCATCTTAAGGGCCTGGAACATCTATTATTCAGTCCATGGCACACAATAGCCCTCAGTAAACATCGCTAAACTCAGCTGAACCATTCCTGGAATGCACATTATCCTTTCAAATCCCTATGCCTTTGCTCACGCTGTTCTAACTAATCTCCTGAGATCTTCACGGAGCTCCCTCCTCACATCTCAAGACGTCCATGAGGTCTGCTCTGCACCTCAGCTCCCAGACCTAACCCCCTTCTCTCCTTTCCTCAGAACAGAATATTTCACACTTTGTTCTTCCAATGCATCTTGTAAAACCTAACTTTTGTATCATGCTCTGTCTTAATTATCTGTTTCCTTCTGTTTCTCTCATGTGGTCTTTACTTGAGGATAAGACTATGCCATTTCCTCTCTCTATTGCCATTGCCCAGCACAAAGGCTGAAAGGAATGCTTGATGCCATCTAGCTCAAATGATTCAACTATTTCATTATTCCCTCTGCAACAACCCTGTTAGGTAGGAATTCATCAGCATGGAAAGTAAGCATGCCCCTTCCTCTACAGGACTTCCCCCCTGTCACGGCTTTGGGGATTCCTGCCTTTATGATTTTGCTCCTGCCATCTCAGCAGCAATATTATCTGTCCACCTCCTCTGGAGACCTTCCTTCCTTTACTCCCACCCATAGGATCACCAGGCACTTTGTATTGATGTTTTGTTATTATTATAGACCATGTGACCCCTGCCTTGCCCCTTTTCATAGAATTATTGGTACCAGAGCTCTCTCCTGGACTCCTACAGCTCCTACTGTCTGTACCACTCCTGTGGTGATGAATTAAATCTAACTTGGTGACAAATCCCTTTAACCTACAGTTCACAGACATATGTGTACACCACCTAGTGGCCCAAGCAGATAAGTGTAGACTAGTGTTTTAACCTGTAGCTCTTAAGATAGGATTACAAAATCTGCATGTTCTATATGCAAATAAAAACAAAAGTGGACATTCAAGAATCACTGTGCAGTAGTGAGGGTGGGAGGGAGATGCAAGAGGGAGGGGATATGGGAATATATGTATATGTATAGTTGATGCACTTTATTATACAGCAGAAACTAACACACCATTGTAAAGCAATTATACTCCAATAAAGATGTTAAAAAAAAAAAAGAATCACAACAGTTTGAACCTAAGATACTAAAATATCCAAATAATTCACTCAAAGTCCTTAAGAAATAAAAGGAATAAATGAAAGAGAAAATTTTCATTCCTAAACGGTGTGCCTGGTATAATCACTTAGGATCACCAGCGGAAACTGGCATTTATTACAATAGGGCACATGATTTGTGGAATTTGACCAATAATAGAAAACTAGTTATATAAGAAGGGAGCATGGTGGACAGAAAGAATTACCAGATTATTTAAATTAGTTACCAACTGAGAGACATAAGGGCCTTTTACATGGAGATGATATATTACCTAACTGCCTGGATGGTAGAATATGCAATGTTAGTTGGAGGAAATGAAGGTAGCTAGCTAGGCGGCAGGTTTGGTAGGCTGACAGGGCCTGCTGGCTGAGGGCTGAGAAGCTGAACCATTAGCTAACCATAAGCTACAGTCTCAGGAAGGCAGGCCCTTCACGCATGTGGTAGTGGTACCGTGTGTGTGTGTGTGTGTGTGTGTGTGTGTGTGTGTGTGTGTGTGTG